CCGAGGTTTAGAATGCGCCTTTCTTGTTTAAAATGACGTGCATTTCAAGGATTATCGATAGGCACTAAGCACATATTCATACAAGGAGCTTCGGCGTGTGAATACAGTTTTGTATGTCGTTATAAATGCGGACTAGGATCGGACAGTCCGTTATAAATTGCGACTATTTTCAGCAACGTTGTGTGTTTATATCAAGATTAAGAAAGCTTTTATTTATTGAGACAAAGCTTCGTAAGAATATAAATGGTTTTTGAGCAGAATTATGCATGATTTCGCTTGCCGCAGTCTCTAGTATTTAACGCTTTCAGTGTTTTGGGTACCCAAAACACTAGGGATTTGGGTACGGGGGTACCCAAATCACTGTGACACCTTCGTTTATTTGAAGGACTCTGCGGGAAAAGGACGTCAGGTATTTTAATCAAAAGTGAACTTTGTCGAAAATGCCCCAAATTTTGCATGCAGTTTCATTCCGGTATGTTAAGCAATGTCCTGTAGTTTTCGCGCTAAAGTTCGCTTTGTTCTCGAGATATTGCGTATGCAATAAACCACTCAGTTTTTCCAACCTGTGTGCCTTTTTTGCATACATTATTTCTCGAGAACGAAAAGCAACCCAGCGGAAAAAAACTTCAGAGCAATGTTTCTCAGGTGAAATGAAGCCCACATGCCAAAATTCAGCTAGTTTTAAGCACTTTCAAAAATGGCCAAAAAATCTAGGGGACGTTCTTGCATACGGCCTTTCAATTGTACTTGATAAGCCATTTACTCTACAGAAAGAGAATTTGTCACAAAACAAGGACATGGTAAAAATTAATGTCCTTGAAATAAAGAAGGTATGTATTCAACAATTATCCAATGCTTTTGAACATTATATCATGAAAAAAACAAGATAACAAGATGTTTTTACAGTGTAATTAAATCACACATGCCTACTTGCTAAGTGTGAGCCTAGCTGTTTACTAATGTACAATGGAAATTAGAGGGCCAAGTTCTCCTGATTTTGTATTTTTACTTTTATCAAAGGCTCTTAAAGCCAACTCGTGATATTTGAAATGGACGTGTTCACATAATACATATGACAACGGTGGTCAGAAAGATTTTGTGGAGATTGTATGCGTATAAATTTTTAACAGTCATTACCAAATGCGAAAAATCAGTTCATTGCTTTGGCAGCCATTTTGTTCACAATGTCCTTCATGAATAATTCATTAGTTGCAAGTAAGTGAAGGGGCAAGACTTCAGATACAGTGACCTGAAGGCCTCAGGTTCGTATTCTGCTATTGAAACTTTTTTTCTCCTGAGATAATTAACAATATTATTCTTATCACTCTTGGTGAATAGTGGCAGAATATTTACTGAGCCGCAAACTGTTTGAGTGTATCTCAAAAGCAGATGAAGAGGAAACTATCAAACTCGATTAAATTGACCTCTCCATTCATGCAAGGAAAACAGGCAGTCGGCATGAAGCATACGCAGAACTATTCTTCAATCATGGTAAATCTAGTTAACTTTCGATAAAATCCGCAACACATCATAGCAAAATGGTATTTTAACACCATTCATATCAGCAATCTAAATCAAACGTCTGCTTGCAAAACAATTCCACCAATCAATCAAAGTTTTCATTTTCACTTGAAATGAAAATTGAAAGAACAGTTAGTGAAGGATCAACATGAAATTATACTGTGTGCAGAGGACCGTGTGACCCCTTGTCAATCGGTGTTAAGTTTACACCAGGCTACACTCGTCTGAATAATAGTGGGCCATTAGCAGTGTGGCGATGATGTTGTGCTTGCTTTAGACAGCAAAAAGCTCTAGCCACATCAATTTAGGTGGGAGGCGCGGTGGCCTCATGGTTAGTGCGCTCATCTCCAGATCAAGCGGTCCAGGTTCAAGCCCTGGCCGGGGACATTGTGTTGTGTTCTTGGGCAAGACACTTTACTCTTACAGTGCCTCTCTCCACCCAGGT